TAAAAAGTAAAGTCAAGATAAAAAACTTATTTTAATACGTCATAGATAATAATTTAAAACATCAGACCGAACTTATGATATCTATGGATTAACATTATCTGTATTTAGTAATATTTATTCTAATGTTTTTGAGAGAATCAGACATGACTTTGAAATTCCAAAACAGTAGGTAAGTAACCAAAATAGTGGAGCTGAGAATTTAAATATTCACCATTCGTTCGTGTCACTTCGTTAAAGTTATTTGTTATTTAAATTTCTTCGCGGTTGTTGACACCCGAAAAACATTCGAGTTATTATAATAGAATGTCCCGTTTGCCGCTCTGGGGTATGGGGCGAACGGATTTCTGTGTCCGTTTCATTTTTATTTACATATAAGTAAATACTGCCTGTTGTTTTGTATTACACATTAGTTATTAGTTAAACTTTTTGAAAATTATTTTAAGTACGGCCCGACGTTTCGGATGATTTGCATCAGCCGAGGTCACGGCTCACGTAAAATATATATCGCGTAATAAACCATTAAAGTGTTTTATTTAAATACTGATAAGTAGTTAATAAGGTTTATGTGTTCTACCGGACCGAGGTTTTTTTCCGGATTCGAACGCAGGACCTCGTCTGAAAATCGGACTATTCAGCTACGAAGGAAAAAAAATCCTAATTAGTAGTAGGATAAAAATTTTTTCTCATTAAAAAAAAAATAGAACATTATAATGAAAATATAATAAGATCAACGTTCCTTCAAAGAAACTACGAAGTGCTTCCATCAAAGTTCCTCGACTTCCAACAGCCGATTAATATTCGTGATCGAAGAAATCACACATTATTGCATTGATAAGACAGCCAATTAGTTGAATATAGGCTAGACTGGGCTGATGTACTCGTTGATTAAAGGTGGGACCGGTTGTTAAAACTATCGACTTTCTATACTGTGACATTTTGTACATTACTTTGAGTTTTCTCGCGAAGAATTTTCTTTTGTAACACATTTCTATTGAAACTAATCTCTATACAAATCACAGGAGCTGCAAGATATAATAAATATATATTAAATTCAGAAGTATTCAGAAACGAACCCTACCATTTTTAATTTTTTTTTTTTATGAAAGAGAATAACAGACGAGCATTCACTAGATGATAGGTGAAACATCCCCGCCATATAACATCTCAACAAAATGCACTGTCCACCTATTTTAGCTTTGGATATTCGGAAAAATCCTATGGATATTTTAATGAACCAGATGTCAAGCAATTCATAATAACGCGGGCAAGAAACATTGTTATAGAAATTAAGATGGCGATTTTGTTATCTTTATTCTAACCGGGAAACATAATTAAATGAAATATTATACATATATTTTGTGTTTGAATAAAACACTTTAACGGTTTAAAACGCGATATATTAGTTAAACTTATTTGAAAATTATTTTTAACTTCGGCCCGACGTTTATATCGCGTTTTAAACCGTTAAAGTATTTTATTTAAATGTGTACTACTCGCGTAAACTATAGACAGTATATATTCTGTGTTTTAAACCGTTGAAAGTGTTTTATGTTTTAAAGCATTTGTTTAAATACTGTCTCTCCGTGTTTGAGCGATCGTAGATAATTTTAAGACTACGTCTCGGATGTAGCGTCTGCAATGAGACCGTTAATGCTATAATAAAATTTGTTCGCAAATCCTCTTTTTAACATCTCGTTTTATGTCCAATATCCGTAACATATTGCGTCAGCTGTCTATATTTACGAGACATTACCTAACAAGCTTTGAACTCTAGACAGAATGTGCATAGATATATTTCTACATTTTCCAAACCTTTGCTACCGAACTACATAATACGTGCTATACTGTTATAGTTTTAGGACGGCCTAGAGTATTTTTAATTTTATGTCTATTTATAATATTACTATTACTTTGGTTAAGCTCGTAGGCGTATCAACGTTCGATTTCCAATTATAAAGGTAAATACTAAATACTATATTTTATCCAAAGCCAAAATGGTCGACATCTTGTTAGTATGCTATAGACTAGTGTATATCACTTAGAATCGAGTGAATACCATTCTTATCTGTTCTCCTCTATTATAAAGAAAAAAAATTGCAAAGTGACGTTATTCGGTTTTAGTGAAAAGATGTCCGTATGCCCGAGACACAGAAGGTCGACGCCAATATTTATACATCATTCGACTTGCTACAGAGTTATGTAAAAGTATTAAATTACAGACGTTTGAAAGCTTTATTTTTCTCAAATGTATTGCACATGATGGCATTATTAATTAAAAATCTATTCAGACTTAAAATGTGTAAACTTTAAACAACCGTGTCACAATTGGTAAGAGTAGAAGCACGGAACGATGCGGTTGCCGTTTCAAGTCCTGCTCGGTTTGTACTTTTTTTTTCAATATAATTTGATACTGTCTGTAGTTTACGCGAGTACACATTTAAATAAAACACTATAACGGTTCAAAACGCGATATATATTAGCCAAAATTGTTCGAAAATTATTTTCCCCACGGTTGTTGCAAAGTGTTGTTTAATTTAAATTACATTTACTTTCCACTGGTTTTAAGGTTGTACGCTATCTGGCCTTTAGTGTGCCCCGTCTTTAGATAATATGGTAAATTGGAACATTTTTATCGACCACTGACACCCTTTACTGTATTACAACGATTATTATGCTATCTTATTACTTTTGTTTGTGTACATGAGATATACATACATTGGTTATCATTTTAAACCTAATATATTAATTATGCTTAATGTATTTACTTGATAACTCTCGTATTTTTATAATTTTTATTACCTTTATACTTGCTGACCTGGCAAAAGTTCTTTTGCCATCTGGAGTATTTCAATATAATATGATTCCCTTAAAAGCGGTTCTTTTTAATCTTAAAAAATAGATATATTCTGTCAAGTACATTTTATTAGATTATTTAAAGAATAAAATTCTTTCATCAGCGCACGTAACGGAAACCCTCAAAGATCAATAATTTTAAAAGACAATAAAGAATTGATAATAGATTGGAAAATAATGTATCATTTTGAATATTATTTTTGAAGTTGCGGGCCACCAGAATTCGACCGGCGGGACGCGGTCTGTGCATCTCTGCCCTACAGCTTTCCTCGAAAAATGGCCAACACACAAATAAATTATCAATTGGAACCAGTAGCTCCTGAGATTAGCACGTTCGATACTCTTCAGCTTCAGCACATGTACTTTTGGTTTCAGTACCTTTTTATACCGAATTAAATATGACTTATGTGTCATTCTAATTATTTCTAGAATGTAAAGAATTTACACTAGAAGTCTTTTATTTTCGATACGAAGTGACCTTCACGGAACATTTGCTATTTTCAGACAATGTGAGGTCAATGACAACTGTCCCGTGTTTATTTTAGTGAATATTTTTTATATTCACGATAACGGGGTGATCGGAGCGAGTTTGAACCGTGCTATGTTTTTCATTCGTAGGTAATTATAATTCGTTTATCGTAAAGAAACTGACTCATTACTCAATATCAGACTAGGTAGCAATTGGTTAGAGCAACAGCACGGAACGCTGACGATGCCGGTTCAAGTTCTGCTCGAGTTTTTTTACAATTTATTTTCGATTTTTAATTTATTTACTGCCATCATGTGCAATAACATGTTAAAAATATTAAAGTTTTCAATATAAAAGACACTGACCCTATTGTGTAGAACAAGTTCAGTGATTCATTGCTTGATAGTTGAAAAAATTTTTTCAATCATTTTTTTTTTTTCAGCGTGAAGTTTGGAACCAGGAATTACCGCCCCGACGGTCCCGCTTATCGTCTCAAATTTAGTAACACTAGTGGCTGAAGCATCCCAGACATTACCGGACGAACATGTTTCAGGAAAATTATAAATTGATTACAAAATGTTGGACCCGGCGGTGGTCGAACCCAAGACCCATGGATTACTCGTTTCGTGCAAGTTTATGTAAAGTTATTTTGACTTGCCCAACCCAAGATGTTCAAATCTAACGTAATGCTTTCTCGTAACAACATCCCGATCCATCCACAGTTATTCATAAGCCACTCATCAACATAATAATACACCCTGGCCACCTTGTTCATAGCCTGTCACTGCTATAAATAAGATGGAATAATTCACTTCTACATTATCTAAACAGTCACTTAATTATATTTAATATTATCTTAATTTTACGATGAAACTAATTAAGTTGTTGTTATTGTAAAAACTAATTAAAGTACAGATAGATTATTATATAATTATTATGTTTTTTATGAAGCTACATATGAAAGTATTACGTATCAATAGAGAAATGATTACTTATAGTGTTAAAAACCGTAAAACGTTGGAGAAAATCATAAAATTCTCTTTATTTAAAACTATGATTATGTTAAACGCCATTAAGCATTGCAACAAGAACCCAAACTGAACATAATGTAGCATCGGGTTTCTGTTTTTTTAGCAAAAACTTGTCCTTTATCCCATAGACAATTCTATTCTTAGTTCTTGCATATGCAGACGATGTGACGCTGTCGGGGCGGAAGATAGATCATTGTTTTTTTTTTAGGAATTCAGACAGTAGGAGTAGACAAGTATAAATTGTGTTTGAAAAGAATTTAATGAAATAAGCTAATTCTAAAAATAAGCAAATTAATTGCTTTCGTAATTCTCTAGAATTGTGATTGTTGAATATCTAGCTGAAATTTGCGTGTATCACATTCAGTGATAAGGCTTTATCGGAATCTTAATAATATTAGTAAATATATTCACTTGGCCTAGACACACTTATTATTTCAATGGAAAAAAAACCGTCACCTTTTTTAATGATATAGGAGGACCGATATGGCATGGGGTTCTGTTGATGGTAGGTGATATACCCAGCCTATACCATCTAAAGAAGATGCACTGTCGGTTTATTTTGACTTTGGACAACCGCCACCTTGCAAGTGGCATTTTTCTATCAGACTGAAATAATTACTAAAGTTAAGCTGAAAAAATCTAAATACCTTTTTCATTAGCGGTATTTGGTGTTCCAATGTCATGTTATTAATCTCGGGCGAGGTCATTAAGTCTCATTAATTGTTCCATAAACACGATCCAGTCACTATCACCATGTCCTGTAGGCCCACTGACGAAATGACAACACTGTTATCAATGCACTTATTTTTTCACCGCCGCGCAAGATAATATTTTTAAGCGAATTTTGCGGGTAGATTTATGTGCAAAGCTGGAGGATTTATCGCGCGGCCACCCCTCGCGCGCGCATGTACTGAATGAGCGCTGGGCGGTGATTCGACGCGGAGTTACGCGGTCATGCGCTAACACTATTCCTAAACCTCAAATTATCACTTTAATTTCCACCTTGTTTACTTTTGTTTACACTAATTATGACAAAAGCACATAATACCGATCCCGTCGATATAGACCTTTAGTACAGAGATGTATAAATAACTATCACGCGGTTGTTGCGTGATGCGCACGCGCAGATGCGTGATACGAAGGCGCCTTCCACGGCCCACCATTGAAATGCTGGCAAGTTGACGAAACACTGTAAGTGAATTAATAAGATCGTTCGTACGGAAATTATCAGGTTTTCTTCGATAACCTCTAATAATTGTAAATTAAAAACAAATGAAACCTACATTTTTACTAATTTTTTTAAACCAATTAATTTTTTTGCACAGCTTTTTCAAACTTTCCAAAATTGAAACAAACGCAAATAGGTATATTGTTGTGAGTTAAGTAGGTTTGTTTACATTGGTCACAGCGAGATAAGGGTATTATGGTAGACTTTCTACTGTTGTAAAATAATAATTACAACATAGTACTTAGCGATGAATCTAATGATTGTTATATAAGTTAATGCCTCTATCAGTACTTAAGTTTATAGCAAAATGAAATAATTAAAATATAAAGTACCACGACAAAGATGTAAACAACTGCTGGGTATATACCATTTATTTAAATTAAAAAAGAAAGCGGCGCACGGGCTATGTCATAAATTATAATTTGTTGCATGACACGAGATTGGATCTTGAATTAGATTAAGCTGCGCGAAGTACGACATGCATTCTCTCGGTAGTCATTACAAATACGGCCCTAGAAGCTATGCTTAGTAAAAGCGACAAACATTAAAGCTTTTAGATCAACCGGTTTTCGAAATGTTCACAAACACGAACAAGACTTTTTAGTATGAAGTGTTTATTTGTAAAGATTGTGTCCTCGAAACCGATATTTCCGGTTTTTTTACACTAATTATACAATCATTAACGCAGAAAAGAAAAATAACTTCATCTAACAAAAGCGCTACATTATAATCAAAATGCTGAAAGAAATGCTATTTGTCATCAAATTCAAATTCTTTATCTTACATTTGACGGTTTAAAACGTGAAATATATTCTAAAATTTGGTTCAAACTACGACCCGACGGTACGGAACCGTGGTTACAAACGATCTGCGTATTTCAGATAACTTGTGTCCTTAATTTTTATTGACGCTAATGTCGCCCTAGTAGTTCCCTACGTGAAGGAGTAAATGTTTTTTGGTCTTTTTATTTGGTTTTCACATTCGCCTAGGCAACAGGCTCGCTAGAAGCGAACACAAATAACCACCTACCACTTCCCATTACACTAAACCAGTCTGGTCGCTTTTACAACAGGGATTTAAATACCGTTACCGTATTTTGTTAGCACCCAAGACCATGACAATCGAAATAGTAAATCTTTTGAAGCTAGAAATAGCCGTAGGTTAGATTAGACACGTTATGCTATCAATATGAGTTTTATCGACATAAGCTCCTTTACAACATAACTTATTAAAACTGTTGGTTCACTGGTAACAATGTATGGCTATGTATAATCAACTGGTATATGATATGTGTCTACTGGGATCAGCAATGATTTTTATATCAGGAATAGTCTGGACAAATTTGGGTAGTAATATAAAAAAATCGTTCAGGTAAAACCATGCACGAAAAAGGCCACATTTTTTTCAAATGCCCAAGATATCATCGCTATAATATTATATATAGTTAGCATCGTTATTACATGTTATTTGGGATTTTTTTACCGTTTTAAATAAATCAAATAAAACATTTTATGTTAATAAATTAACTTTCTTGGAAAAGCTACATTATTAGGAAATAATTTCATCTACGACCCAATGTTATGACGGTACTATGTACCTTTTCGTTATAAAATCTAGTATATAGAAATAGTATTTTGCCCAAGAAAAGGATATTGAAAAAGAAACATATACTTAAATCAAGATAGTCGTAAAAGTCCTTGAAACGAGCTATAAAAATAAATCAAATATTTAATTATAGCTGCGCTTAAATTTTACAACTTATAATTGAATAGAAATGTAAGCCTGGGTTTCAATTCGTAAAATGATATCAAGTTTAACGCCTAAGGGTAACAATGGAAAGTCGAACACAAATAGCGATAAGTCTTTGGAATTTATTCGTAACACGTTGCCAGGTAAATTAAATGGACCCAGTTACACAACTGTTGAAAACGCGAAATATAATAGTTACTATTTTTAAATTCATTTTAACTAAGGCCTGATGTTTAGGGTGTTTCACAATATAAATCGTATTTTAAACCGTTAAAGTGTTTTTATTAAAGTGTACTTCTTGAGTAAAATACAGACAATACTAAAGATGAATACTGAGAAAAAACGGTTAGTTATCAATCCAGTTATGATTCATACAAACCTAATAATTATAGATAGTACACGAACGATAGGTACTTGAACGATATTGAAACACCAAACCTTTCAATTCTACCAAAAATAAACCGAACAGACAAGCCAGACAGACCAGACATATCCCTCTAAATTCTATTTTAAGCAAACTTTGATAACCTGTAAGTATTGAACAATCGATGAACATAATGTGATATAAACGCGAGTTTTGATACAATGAGAGAAATGTGGTTTATAACCGACAGTATTTAGGTTCGAATCCAACTAAGAGCAGCATGCTAAATCATTTTCAAAACTTGTTCTACATCAGGTCACGCACAAGACTCAGATAGAACTGAAAGCCGCGTTGTCTAATGTACGGTTCGGTTGCAGTTAGTCGATTTCCAAAATAAATCGACAGCACATTCCATAAACTAAATCTCATGCATGTCTGTCGTATAATAAAGTATTGTTCAAACATGTGTGTAATGATAGCGATGTTTAGAAATGGAATGAAATTCAAACGGACCGTGGATTCGCTCCCCATCGGGTCCAACATTTTTTAATAAGTTAATATTTCCGTCCCTAGCTCATAAGCCGGCCACAGATAATAAAGCCGTACCGTAATAGCATTTCGGTTACAGTCTGTGGATTTCCGGATAGCCAAAATAGGTCTGGTTTAGATGTTATTTGGCTTGGTTGTAACCGTTAGTTCGAGTCAGTTCTGACGACTGTGTCTAAATTATACTTATTAATTTTATGTGGGGCTACTAAATAATAAAATATTTTAATTACTAAGTTAGTAACAATAATGATAATGCCTGTTTTAAACTAACGACTATTAAACGTAACTTCGGCTTTACAACGGATTTATACTATTCATGGACCAGTCAAATTGTCTTTGTTGTGCCCACGTTGCTGCATACACTTAGCATAAGTGTATCCAGCTTGAAGATATTACAACTTACGACATAACTAGCAGGATTACAATTGTTCTATTGTATGTCATTCTTCATCAAGCACATTATATACAGATTAAATTAGATTTAAATATTTGCGACTAATAATTTTGAAGAAAAAAACACAGACGACAACTCTACGACAGATGGTTAAGAAAGCAACATTTACCATAATACGAATAAGTAACTATATATTCGAACACCTCTGTATCTATATGGTTAAACGTGTTGCCCAATATTGCGTTAAATACGATAGGTCATAGCTTCGATTCCCGGAAAGACATTTTCTTTTCGGTCGGGTAGGACACAGAAGTCTGATCAAATCCTTGGCTTTAAATAAAACGCATTAGTGAAATTGACAAAGAGAATGTGTTTATCCCCAAGGGGGGGAACCAAGCCTTTACTATATATTCAAACAATGCCTGTATATTTTAGGTATATAAAAGAAAAACTAATTTCATTCGTGAATAAAGTCCACGTTTTAATCACTGTTATTTCTACGATGACTTTACGGACGTCACAAATATCGTCTTTGGCAAAATGCCAGGACTATAAAAAGAAAATAATTTAAATTGTGCTAAATTAAAATACGTATCTTTTTATTCCTCAAATTGGTATGCTAGGGGCTTTCAATATCTGAAGGTACATACGTATTTCAAGGGCTAGCGAGGATTGGATTAGCTAATCTTCTACACAAGATAGAAGATTCTAAGATTTTTGTGGGTTGACCACCAGGTATTCAATTAGTATCTCTAGCAGAGAATCATTAATTGATACAATTAGTCAATGAAGTGAAAGTTAAATAAAATATTGCTGTTAAAATGTTGCTGTTTCCTTTGGTAACAAATCTTGAAGAGATTTTTATTAAAGCATCGCATAAATCTTTCAATTTTCAGTGCCATACATAGAATGGTATTAATATAATTGAACGGGGTCAACGAACGGTAACGGTTTTATTTGTCGGAGGGCGGGCGGCGCACGCGCACCGCAGCTCTGACCTTCAGCGAGACAAGTGGAAAATAAATGTCCTTATACTGCGTATTTCTTTAATTACTTTGTTTTGTATTTGTATTAAGGCTTTATTCGTGATGACGTTTTACGTAAAACACTTCTAACGGTTTAAACACGAAGTATTTGTTAACTTATTAACAATTTTGCAGCACGGCCGCTCGGTGCTTTGCTGCGCCGTGTCACGGGAAGACACGACTGCTGCAAAGCATCCGAAACGCCAGGCCGTAGTTTAAAATAATGTCTCAAACAAGTTTAACTGAAATATATCGCGTTTTAAAACGTTAAAGTGTTTTATTTAAATGTGTACTACTCGTGTTAACTACAGACAATATTTAACCATAAATGTACTTATTAGGTATAATGTAGTAGTTACACTAACTAAAAACCA